TACCAAAAAAGAAATGAGGTGAGAATGGGGTTGGGGTTGAGAATTAGCCGGTACTTAACCGAAAAAAAAGTTAATGTAGATTTTCGTCAAAATGTTATTGTATATTTATTAATACAATTATCAAAAAAAGCCAGTTTAGTGAGGTTGGAACATACTGGGGACGGTTAGGTTACCGGTCTACAGGAATTATATATATAACTGATAAAATTACTTTCAAATAAACGCTTCGACGCAAACCTTAAATTAGTTTGTTCAAAACAGTACAGTCAAAACCATGTACGGTATCAATATACCAGCACTATAAGAAATTGCCAAAACAATTCTTGGGACCTCCCCATTTTTTTTTTTTTCAAAAATATAGTGACATAAATCTCACGTTAGGAATGCTGTTGAAATGTCGACGATTTTAGTTACAATTTTTGTACTCAATAAAAATGTTTATTTCCGTTACAATAAACCTTTGTGGTCTGAACAGAATGCGCCACCATGGGAGTAAAAAACATGTAGAGATTTAAATAACTGAAATTTATAAAAGTAACTTTTAGCTTCGATGCAAAGCCGATAAGATATTGGTTTTACTGTAGTGTAGGCTTTTTTGTGTCTGTAAACACTGTAACTTTTTTAATACTGGACCAATTCCTCCGAGTAGCAACTCTAGGTTTGTAGGGCAAATTATTAATGTTGTAGAAATTATCACAAGTTGAAATAAATGTACATTAATCAAAAGAATTTTCTAGAATCTTAAACTAAAATATTTCCCTGTCTTAAATTAATAAGATTTAAAATTTTAATTAAATTTGATTAAATCAAACAGTTAATTAACTAGTTTTTGATTTACTTCCGTGATGATGATGACTGCTGTGATGGTCAATTTTTATCATACTCTTTTTAAAGAACTCTAACATAATGGACTTAATTAAATAATATATTTTTTTTATTTGACGCACTAAAGAGCAAATGATAAAGGTGATATAAAGTTATACAAAAAGGCATAAAAATTTAACAAATTTATTGATAATTTACACTAAGATCCTCAATATGCGAAACATTTATAAGATTAGCACCATCTATATTATACGTAAACAGTTCAAAAGATCGTTTACGACAAAAAGTGGTCTGAACATTTTTAGAGATGTTCAAACATTGACCATTTGACTTTTACAATACCCAGTTACGTTCAAATTATTCTGTTAATTGCGACTATTAACAACTCAACAAACACTTGTATAGAATTTACACCATCGGCCAAAAACAAACAGCAAGAATGATGAAAAAAAATCAGAAATATCATTTATTAAAAATACGATGAATAACGGTGGAATTAAGTGAATATCGGAAGAAATAACATAATTAATACTAACTGGATGCCACCTACCTGAAGCTTATAAATCAAACCAGTTAAGATAAGAGTTCTTCAGTTCAACATATTTTAATTTACCACACAGAACATTTCAATTTAATGTCTCAACGTTTTTTTATATTAATAAAAATTGCATCTACATGCCCTCTGGTCACAACAGTAGAAACAATATCGAAATAAAATACAAGTAAAATTAACAATAGTTGATTTAATATTAAATTGTATAATTTACTATTTGTATAATATAGATTATAAATAAAAATTGTAAAATTCGGTTTTTGGTAAACCATTGATAATGAACATAAAAAATAATAAGATACATATTTATTTGCTATTTATAACCATTATAACCATTCTAATATATGAAAAGGTGTTAAATAACTTTAATAAATACATATAATTATAACTAATGTACATAGAACCAAGTGCTTTTTTGTACTCCAAAACATTTTCCAGCCCATAACATTTGATTTTTTAAATCTAAGTATATACCCTTTTAAGATATCTCCGGTAACTATACATCCTATTATACAATTTTGAAATCCAGTAAAAATACCCTGAGAAACAAAACACTACGTAAGACATGTTATATAATTATCATAGAGTTTTGTTTCTTTGTGTATAATATAATTTTAATAACAAAAAAAAGGGTATTTAAATTTGGTTTCTAAAATAGTAAACAATTTCAGTAAATTCTACATAATTAAAAAATATGTAAATACTATAAGCTACCAATTACGATCTTGGTTCTATTTTAACATAACATCCGTTGCTAAATTCCAGTGCTATGGTACACGATAATTTAAGATCTTTCGGAGTAGGGCATTTCTTTGATGGCGAAAAACGGTAGGACCTTACAAGAGTAGATATCGCAGTCTTCATTTGGAGCATTGCGTATTTCATTCCAATACAGTTTCTTGTGCCACCACTAAAAGGAATGTATGCAAAAGGATGACGACTGCGACACACGTCAGGTAAGAAGTTGTCAGGATTAAATTGATCTGGGTCCTTATAGTATTTGGGATTTAAATGCAAACAATAAATGGGAATCGTAATAATTGTGTCTGTAACATAATAATATTTGACAACTATTAATTAGGGACATGCAATTTAAAAAAAATATATTATTTTTAATAGGTTCTACCCGCCGGGATAAGATATTTTCCAATCATCATTTCGTTTTGTACTTGTCTGTGCACAAAAGGAATAGCTGGATAAAGTCGCATGGTTTCTTTGATTACACGTTCTAAGTATTCCATTTTTTGTAAATCCTCGTATGTAGGCGATCGGTTAAAATCACCATCAGAAAATATTGAATTTGTTTCTTGATATACCTAGGGTCGAATATAATTAAATAATTTTAATTTTTAATAAATATGGATTTGTAATTTATTACAGAAATAATTACATTTTGTTGAACATCTTGATGATGAGCCAGCATAAATATAATTAATGAATTTACCTTTGCAGTTGTTTCATGTCCCGCTTAAACAAAAATTCATTTAAATAACGTTTATTTAACAGAATTTTGGAAGTAGTTATTATTGTAAGTTAACATTTTATTTTTTTGGGAAGGGGAGAAGGTTTGAATTTGAAAAGAATGAAATGAATTGTTTCCTTATGTTTTATCATCATAAGTATATTTTGAGTACAACCTATGATGTATTAACAAAAACATAATAATTTATAATACATCATTAAAATACCTGTAACACCAATAATTTTAACTCCGAAAATAAGCTAGAACACAAAGCTAAAATTTACTTTTTACCGCTATAGAGTTTAAATAATATATTGCTTACCACTTATAATGGTTATAAGTTCGTCCTTCATTTCTTTATGTGTTACTTGATGTTCGTTTGCTAACAGAATTTCAATTAGATATTTCGGCTTTTGATAACTACAACCTTCATCACGACACCCGTTAATGGTAGATTTATCTTTTTCATTGAGTTCGACTTTTTTTTTCTGAATTAAATCATTCACATATTCATGCATTAAATGTTGACTATTTCGTTGTTCATGTTTTTTCGATGACAGTGAAAATAAACTTGAGCTTAAAAACCACGGATTCGAAAGTCGGTATGCAAAGATCTGGAATTACAAAATAAAAACAATAATCTCTTTAACAGATATTCAATAACAACATTGTCAGTCCAAAATTATATCTTTTCTGTTCCACTGGATTATTTTGCTACAAAAATGTAAAATAAAAACAAAACATTTTTTACTTCTGCTAGACGTGCATAACTATTTCGGAAATCGTGGTTTTCTTTGTTTTGTGAATTAAATTCTTCTCCCAACGCTGTTCTTCCAATAGTGTCTATCGATGCTAGTTCGAAAAATTGGCTTATTTCAAGTTCCATTGATTTTCTTTTACTCTTTTCACTCAATATGTGTTCAAGAATTCTAGATTCTTCGTAGAATAAAGTAATTAATGATTTTAAATTTGAATACTTTAGCCATTGATTTATAATTTTCCTAAATAACGTACGTATTATTAATTACTCATCTCCTTTAAATAGGAACAGTATGTTCTATTTGTTTCTTACAAAATATTTATAACTATAATATCATACTATATATAACAATAATTTACCTGTTTCTTTTATAGTCATGTATATTATTATTTGTAATTAATCCCTTAATCGAGAAAACGTCTTCAATTATCGAATAAGGTATATTCTTTTGAAAACAGTTTAAACTATTCATTACTTCCTCTACATCATCGGCGTTGGATACACAAACAACCAACTTGTTAAAAAACCAAAATTTAAATAATGAATGCTTGTACCTTTAACAAAAGGAGTTCATTTTTAAAATTTGTCCACAATTACTTATATTACATATATAAATAATTAACACAATATAGTCCGAATAGTCCAGGTTTCCCTATTTTTTTCTAACTTGAATAGTTTCAATGAGAAGTCTTTAAAAAATCGTCACGGTAAAAGGCTATCAGCTATCTCCAAAATAATCATCAAGAGTATTTCGTTGAATAGTTATTATATTAAATTAGAAATATCGTGTTTTCATCCATAAATGTGCGGTTTTTACTATATTGCCTTTAAAAAGTTATAAAAATTTGTACGACGACAAAAATTTACAGAAATGTTCATATCTACAGATTTTAACTGGCGTTTAGACTCGTATACTCAATATGGCCAATACAGCGGAACGATGACTATCAATCCAAATATAAACTCTGCAATAAATCCGAAAAGTCAACAAGACATTGGAGACATGAACACATTAAAAAATGTTTTTCATAACATTTCAATACCTAATGTATAGTTTTAATAACTCCATAAAAAATTATCATATTCGTTGAAATTGTTTATTATCTCAAAATCATGTTTAGTTTGGTGTAGGATCTCGTTTTTTCATCAAATATTTGCATGTAAATTACGAGCAATTACTTCTTGTATAATAATAAGCTGGTTTTTACTATATTGTCTTTATAGATTTGAACAAATTATAACTGAAAAACATTTTTTCGGCAACTAGACCACATTATATCACAAAACATAATGTAAATGCTTATTTATGATTACTTACTTCTTACATAATTGATTGTAGTTCTTTATAAACTTTATTTGTCGTCGAATTAAAATCGTTAGGCTTCCGACAAAAAAATGACCTTTTGGACCAGGTATTTGAGCAGCCAAAGTAAATTGTCTTAGTTTTTTTTTCCTTAGCAAAATTACTATCGATATAACTAACACGATAGTAAGTATAATGGAATGAAAATAACTCATATCATGTATCTGAAAATTAAGCAAAATATAAATTGGAAACATTTAACTTACAATGTTATATGGCTCAAATCAATCTACATAGAATATAAATAAAACATATTTTATCATTATGTATTCAAGAAAGAGACCAAATGATATGGTTGCTGTTTAATATAAATTGCATCAGAAATTATTAAAGGTAATAAGACTTTCTTTACCTAGACAGACACTTAGCATTTATAGCTATAAATATATTTTGTAACAGGGACGAGCTTGCTGATTCAGGGTTAACTGATACAAAATATTAATCTTAGTGTTTATATTTGATACAAAATTTTATCAACTGATTACATTTTAAAAAACATATAATTATTGTACAAAAAAATATAGTTTAATAACAAATAATTAAACATACACAATTGTGATTATTTTTTTTTTTATGACTTTAAGGTTTCATTTTTTTATATTTGATATTGTGTGTTTGTACACTGAATTAAAGTTAGTATTCCATTTGAATTTTTATTTTAAAGATCACAAAATAGTGCATGTTTCCAGAATATATTACATTTTAAATTATAATCTGATTGTCTGATAACGATTATTATCTGTTTTGAATATTCCGAATAATGCTTCTGTATAGAGCAAGCACTAACAAAAACTTTAAATAGCAATAACTTTTGAACAGTATGTTATAAAAAAGTCGTTTAACATTTTTGTGTTTAAAATAATATATACTTACATAATATCCCAAAAAATATATGGGGTTCCGGTTTAAATTTAAAGAGTTACATTAAGTTAGAACTCTATAAGGCAAGAATTTAATTTAAGTGTTATAAAATAACACCTAACATCCAAAAGTCAAAATTGTAAAAAAACAATGGTGTCTGAAAAATTGCCCATTTTCTAACATTTTGAACTATTTTACAATGTTTTATGGCACAAATAAATTTAAATATAATACAAAAATTAAATATTTTATCATTATGTACTCAAGATAGAGACCAAAGGAATATTGTGGTTGCTGATGAAATAATATAGATATAAAATAAAATAATATTATGTACTTTTTAATGATATTATTGTTACACTATTATAAGTTTGAAACACAAATAGTAAATTTCTCATAATTTGGTTCCTCATAAATGTTTTTTTCTTTAAATTGAATTTGTGTAATGGTCGACAACCAGCTTAAAATAATCATTTTTTAAGTTATTTCATTTTAAAATTTTGAATGAGAGGTGGAGTTTCGTTGAGTATTGCTCACACAGGTTTAGTACAGATAATTATAACACTATTCTCCATTTCTCTGCCCATCTTAAGAATAAACTTTAATACTAAAATACTATTGATGATATACTATGTGTGGCAATAAACCACGTAACTGTAAAAATATTAAGGTTTTTAATTGAACAGATTTTATTTAACGCTAAAATTAGTTTCTAATAAAGGTTAACTACTTAAAGCACTCAAACATTAATTTGGTAGTGAAACTTACTCGTTGAAATAAAAGAATCATGTTTTTGGAAGCCGACAAAATAATACAGTAAAATAATACTATGTACTCTGTAATGATATTTTGATTTAAAACACAAATGTAATGAGCCAAATATATTATTCATGTATGGCTATTAATTTGTGTTCACACTAATTTTTACATCAATTTATTCACTTTCAATTATTACATGGCAATCAACTTTTTTTATGTTTTTTCCTTGTTTTTGTATTATTTATTTCCCATAACTTATTTGAAACACTCTATGTATAATACTGTTGTAAAAAAAACCACATCAATGACTTTTAAGCTTCCACCATATAATTTATATATAATTAACTCAATTCTTATTATAATCACATCAAAATTATTTTTAAAAAAAATTAGGATTATGATGGTATATAAGTTCTTCTTGGAATGTAATTTAGTGTATATATTATTATGTCAATTAGTTTTTATTCCCACAGTTTCTCTTCGATAATAATTCTAAAATAATTAAAAGTATATAAAAGTTTTTTTATTTTTAATATAAACGTTAATATTTCATTTTAAATTTAATATAATATGCATCAGAAATTATTAAAGGTAATAAGACTTTTACATTTTTTAATTACTGAACAAGCTAAAAAACATTACCTAACAATACACAATAAATAATTTAACCTCCGAGCAGTGGCGCCTTTGAGAATCTCGTTGGCGGATGAGCCGCGGTGTTAACACCGCCCAAGAAGATATATTTTGTTTTTTCACCTACCATGTTGATAATCTATCAACTAAAAAACAGGGAACGTTACACAAGGTTGACCTCACATGTTTAAACGCATTGCATTTAGTAAAGGCATAAAGGTTTTAGGTGACCTATAAATGTCGTAAAATAATCTCAAATTTGAAAAATAATAGTACATACACAACTATGTTTAATTTTTTTTAAATAACTTGAAATTGTAATTCTATTAATTTATTATTTTGTGTTTGTACTTTATGCACAAAGTTAAAGATAGTTATTCTATTAGAATTAGCTGTGAAAGTTGTATTTTATTATATTATGCATATTGATATAATTATATCATATGAAATTACAAAAATTTGATTAAAATTAAATTAATTTTCTTTAATTTTTATTAAAATACCCGTTTATAATTATTAACCATTTATTCCAAAAATGTTGACTGGTCGGTAACCAGTTTCGGATAACTATGTTTAAAGTTATCATAATTTTAATGTTATGATGGGAGAGGAAGTGCGGTTGGGAAATGCGCGCAGATAAAAATAATATTACACTCAACCTTTCCTCCTGCCATAAACTTGAAACTTCAATTATTAAAATAAGTCTATCAATCTCTTACAACTTACATAAATGTAATTTGTGTTAATTAAATTTAACCTTTAACTTGGCGATGTGTCTTTTAAGATACAAAAAGTCGAAATAAATATTCCAGTGTAAATATAAAAGATATATGGACTGTTGTTATTTTTTATGTTCTTTAGAATGATCATTAAGGTTACTGATATCATTTTAAAGATTTTCTCTCGGTATTATATTTGTTATATCATTATTGTTTTGGACTGATTTTCAACACATTTTATAAACAGTTTAAACCCTAAATATATTTATTTGTTTTTAAATAACTTAAAGGTAACACTATTAAATTTGTTATTGTGTGTTTGTACTTTTAAATTAAAGATAGTTATTCCATTAGAATTCTTAATTTTTTAAAACTCCAGAATAGTGAATGTGTATAAAATATAATACATTTTAAATTATAATCTGATTAACTGACTTGAATATTCTAAAAAATGCTTCAATATACAGCACGAACATAAACTTTAAAAAGCAAAAAATTTTTTAAAGTATGTACAGTATCATAAATTCGCTTAACATTTCGATGGTTAGAAGGTAAAAGGGCGTATGCGACAATTTTTTCAAAATTGACTTTTTTGCATAAACAGCATAATTATATATTGATTTAACCATTTATATGTTTTTATTTGAATTTAAATTAGCGTTCCTTATTAAATTACGCTTCAATCATATTTCCATTTTTAATTATTGCCTGTCAAAAATTGTTTTTTCTCCCCCATTTATGTACGATTTATTGTACATAACGACTTTGAAACCTTCTTAATTATACTACTGTTTTCAAACAACAACTTTTATGACTTTTTGGATTTTCAAAAGATAAGCATTATTTTAGAATACAATGAGAGTAATAAAATTAGCCAAATGTATTATTCATGTAATGGTATTATTGTTTTACTGTTTGAAACACAAATAGTAAATTTCTCATAAATTGGTTCCTTATAATATCTTAATAAACTTACATATCGATATCATTTGTACCGGGTCATCCAACTAACGTAAGACATCATTTCTCGGAAATATGAATATTTTGAAAATTATTTTTTTCCTATACTTTTTGATAAACGTTTTACTATGTTTTTCAATACTTTGAAAATGTTTATCTCCATCCCTTATACGATAAAAAGGGTTTAGTTCACGTTTTCAAATGGCAACATATGTTTATAATTCCATAAATTTGTGGGCAAAAATTTTTAAATTTTGTTATCGTTTGAATTTTTTATTTTTATCCATCTAGTCGTTAGCTATGACTTTGTAAAGATATTAAATTTTCTCTTAAATATTATTACATTTCTTTGGTTTCCGAAGACCGGGAGCCAATAAAATACTTATTTATGATCGCATTGTCCGATAGGTGAGTATATAGGTAACCAAACACAATCAAATGTTTTGTGATAGTCTGGTTGACCAGCGATTCATATCTACAGATCACCGACTTTTCGACATTTACCGAGTTTCGTTGCGTTTTACTTTAGTTTGTATTAGAGGTCTCAGTCAAGTACGTGAAAGCGAACATTCGTGTATTCGTGTAACGAATACACGAATGTTTTATTCGAACACGTACGAATTTTCGTGAAAACGGGTATTCGAATAACGAATGTACGGATATAATGAATTGTTCACATGGTTACGCCATAGCACACACAAGTCTAGAATATAAGTAAAAATTGGTAAAAATTAATATCTTTCTAATTTTACTTTGAAATACTTCATAGTAAATTAACTTATACATTTTCAGGGTTGCAAAATTCAAATGTAATGCCTATGTTAAAATTTACTTCTCATTTAGAGGGGTTAAGGGTGTTTTTTAAAAGAGTACAGAGTTAATAATTATATTGCCAGAAGGGGCACCTTTCATGTACACTTTTTATCAATAATAATTTTTATTATCAAGATATTATTTAAGACTAGTTATCGATAAAACAAAATTGTAAGTGCCTAGGGACCAAACTATTGGAGATGTCTTCAAAAATATATGTTATACTTTTAGGATGATTAAAAAAACCTGTTTTTACAGAAAACATATTCAGGGAGAGATTCGACCCCCAAAATCCCCCCCCCCCAAAGATAGCTTTATAAAATGTAAAATAAAATATAATGTATTATAAATGTAACCAATAATGTTTAATAATAATAAAGCTTTCATAGTTTTTGTAAATTTGTTTTT